TGACAAATTATATGAAGTTCACCCCGAAATATTCACCTTTTTAAAGAAAACTCATATTTGAAGAGAATTTAGAAAAGTTGAAGAAAGAAAACTCAAAAATATTCTCTAAAATAAGACAAAATTTTTTAAAACACAATGTTAAATAGAGTTTTATTTGAAATTCAAGATAGAAATACTATTTCTTGGTAATAAAACTCTATGGTGAATATAAATTAGTTTGTAAAATTCTGTGGTGAATTCTAACAATACTGAAATGAGAGAACATTATTAGAAGAACAAATTGAAGCAAACCAAAATTCTAAAAAGCTATACACAGCTACGAGTTTCGATAGCGAAGCAACAAGTTGAGCTCATCGGAAGAATTGAAATCGAACGAGGGCTACGAAATTATCTACAAATGCCCCCAAAAGTTGTAATTTCTTGAATATTTCATTAATTATCAAAATATCTATTCATTTTAAAGAGAAAATAAACATTCTCTTTTTTTCGTTCTTGTTTTCCAAGTTTCGTGAGTTTTCTCAATTTCTCACGAATAAAGAATGAATAGATAACTTACGAATTACTATACTCTTAATTTGATTTCGTCTAAATTCGTTCGTTCTATGTCTTAATATTGAAAAAATCTAGACAAATATTGCATATGGATTCAAAGAACGATAATAAAATTATTTAGAATTAAAATTCGAATTTTTTAATTTCTTTTAATACTTGAATAAATATAGTTCAATATTTTTCTTAATTATTTACCTATTATTCTTAACACAACATTAAATGCACAGAAACAATGTTATCCTTCTCTTGTACCTAAATTTCCCCGATGAAAAAATAAAAACAACTTTATACCTGAAAATTTTCATCATCTTGACATTTCACTGAAAAAAAAAATGTTTTTATTTTAATGCAAAACAAAAACAAGAAATTTCAAAAAAAAATTTTACAATAAAAATTTCATTTGCCTTTGAGAACCCCTAAATCCCATCATGTCAATTAAAAAATTTTCTCTGGCATATTTTTATTTTCATAGTTCCTGATACAGAATCCTTCAAAGTTACTAAAAGTAAAATCTGGAAAAAAAATGCAAAATAACATAAAGACAACAGAAGAAATAAAGGAAAACCTCAATATAACACAAACCATAAAAAAAAATATATATAAAAAAAAAAGACAAACAAGAAAAGAAAAAGATATTGTTATACAACAATGACAAAATCACAGATCCTTTCATATTATAATCTAAATGTTCGCGATGTAAAGACAAAAACAAAACAAAAATAAAGATTTTTCGCGCTCTATTTAAAGGATTTTGATTCCCGTGTAAGAACAAACAAAAAAAAGGAATAACACTAGCGTTGACTTGACATACAACAATGATTACAATAGTTTTTTTTTTGCTTTTTTGTTTTTTGTTATACATAATGTTAAATTCTAATGGTTATTCATTTACTGTAATATTCATAATAAATCCTTCATAATTTTTCTACATATTTTTTTTATTCTCTTAGAATGATAATATTGTGTTGCATTCAACAGTAAAGAATGTGCATGTTATATATACAGTAATACAATATAAGAATGCAGCAATATAACAGTATAATTAGTATAACAAATAACCCAGTAAGACCAAAAGTTCGATAATTTTTGTAAATTGTAACATTTAAATTTACTTTAGAATTATTCGTACCATTATGATTTGTTTTGTTTAGCTTGAAAAATCTTTTATACAAAAAAAAAATCTGTTATACAATCTGTATAACAGTTTTACTTTAATTTAACCAAGTAACCTATAAATTCAAATATACAATGCCGAACGTCATATAAACTCATATAAGCAATACCAACGTTAGTAACTCTATCAATACTTTTGTGTCAGAATAATATTCGATAATTATAATATTTTAGATAATTTAAAATATTATCAAAATTAGCATTCAAAATTGGGATTGTTTCAAAATTAATTGTGTAGTTTCATATTTATTTTGGTTTACTGGGTAATTCATTAAATTACATTCTAGTTTGTAAGTTGTGGTACGTATGTTTTGTATATTTATTATATTTTAGTAAAAGTATAGGTGTTTTTGCAGTTTCCTTATATTATAAATGAGTATGACACCCAAAAGAGCAGTCATGCCATTCACTCTAAAGAGTTTCTTGTTTCAATTATTTTTTATAAAAAAAAAATTTTTATTTTTCATTTTTTTTTCTTTTTTTACTTCGGTTTATTTTTATTAAAATGGCAAAATGAGGATAGCATAAGCGTTCATTGATGCTTTTTAAAATCATACTGTTTACACTTTCCTGTTTCTTGAATAATTTTTGTTGTTATTACCCGTATGTTTGGTTGTGCATCATTAATATCGTATATTTATTTATTATAAAAATAAAAATATATTAAATTTCACATTTTATTTTTTCCTTCCCATTTATTTTTCTCTGTGTATTTGTTTTGTTTATTTATAAAGCTGCATATTTATATTTTTAATTATATAGGTTAATAAATTCATTTTAATAATTTTGACATTAAATATATGGTGTTAATATTACAAAAATTTACATTATAACCATTGCTTGGCACTTGTTCTAAGTTATATTCTATTATTCTAGAATGGAAATTAACCTTATGACAAAACTTAAAACTACAGCTTGCAACAATTTTCAAAAATTGCTGAAAAGTTTTCCAAGCTATATAATAGTTTGATCAAACTTTAAAATTGTTCTGACACTTGTATACTTAGTAAGCAGTCATGTATTACATGCTATTCGAATGGAATTTAAAATTTTAATCAGACTTTTACGATCTTATTTTTAAATTTTGTTTGATTGCAATCGGATGACATCTATATTTTTCGATTTAGCAAAAAAAAACGTTTACACATCAAACTCTCATCAAACTTTATTCAAATCATACAAAATGTGTGAATTATGTTGGATTTTAAATTTAAGTTCTCCAAAATCATTATTTTTAGAGTTCAGCATTTCACTTCCTTTTCCTTTTTTTTTTTAAATCAAAATATTATTGAAGTTCCTTTATTCCTTTTCGTCTAAAAAACATGCAGGATAATTTATTAAAAAAAAAAACATATTTTTACTTTTTTCTTTTTTTTATAAACATTTACTGTCACAAGTTCAACCATTTTACAATTTTTAAAATGATGATTAGTAGTCGCTTTGTCACACTCACGATAAAAAAATGATGCCATTAAATCCGTTGCTTTTAATGCCTGATGAAAAACTGGAATAAAGACGAAATAGACCAGAATGGAAAAAAGTAAAGACCAGAAAAAAAAAAAAAACAACAACAATGTTGTCAAACAAAGTCAGGGTTGCTGTATGACCCTCTATAATCTTAATTTAGAATTTGATTTTGTTACTATGACAGCTTTGTAAATTACGATGAAATTTTCATTGGTTTCAACAAATGCTTTGACACTTTCTCCAAATATTTACTTGTAATATGACAATGTTGTTATAACAAGCACAAAAATTGAAAAACAATATTCCATAAAAAAGCTATTAAAATTTAAACTGAAATATTGCGAATGTGAATAACAAGAAATTGAAATTTTCACATCATTTCATTCTACATCATAAGTGAGAGAAAGACTAATCAAATAATAAGAGTAATTTTTATAGATTTTAACTATGACAGTTCAATTAAAAAGCAGTGAATTTTAATATTTGAGAAAATGACGTCAATTTAATTGCTACAGGGGTGAAATTAAAATTAAACACTCATTAAAAATGAAATCGTTTTCGGGAAAATTTTGAAGACAATAATAAATGACAGCAAGAATAAGAACAGAAATCGATTCTTAAAAATTGAGTACCCAACTCAGATTCGTTGACAACACTTCTAATTTAACATATCATAATTCATAAACCATATTTAACAAATAGAAAATATAGGACATAGGAAATCGAATGATTTTGCAAAAATCAAAAAATAAATGAATTGAAAGAAATATTGAGTAATTTACATTGTCATTTACTTCTCTCCCTATAACATAATTCAAACTTCTAGAGGTAGAATCTGGATTCTAGAGATTCAAAAATTTTATTGAAAAAAAAATAAAATTCTCTAGTAATCAAATATTAGAAATAATTTTTTTTTCAATTGAAAAATATTTTTATCGGATAATTATTTTGAATTCGAGTGCCTATAAGATTTTAATTGAAGAAGTATTAAACAGAAGAGAGAGAGAGAAAAAGTTTTCTCGCTTTTTCCTTTTTGGTTTTTTTTCAAATGAAGGGTAAAATGCATCACTTAAATTGATTATTCGGTTCAATAAATCGAAAGTGATTTCCCAGTTTTGTTAAACTATTAAAAGAGAATTAATTTTATAGATTTTGTAAAATTAAATTTTTTTTATGTAATAATTCTCAATTTACCTATTTGCTCTTTACATAGCTTTTCATTATTTTTTACTCATTGAGCTTAAAGTTTAGTATTTGTGCGTGTGCTCTCAGTTTATGATTAAGTACTCGTATATGAAGGCATTGGTAATTATAAATGTGAGAATCTTTAAAAATTTTTAAATCATGCACAATGAAGAGGGAGCCTATCGCGAATTAAGGCGAAATATGAAACGTTTCTTTCAAAAATCAATATGCTGCCGAAGAATTTGCCGTTTATATGCCTTATTCATATTCTAATATAAGAATCCGTTAAAAAAGTCCACTTTCTTTTCATACTTTGTTAATTCATTGGTCAAATTGAACTGAAAATCTAAAATTTTAGAAAACGATTTGTTAAGAGTCACAGTTCATATTTCACAGTTCTGTGTTCATTTCTCTCCAAGGATCACAGTCAAACTAAATACGTTGAACATATATCCATTGTTTTTTTTCCTTAAAATATCTATATGCTATTATATTTTATATTGGTTTTAATATAACCTACACATACATACATTATTACACACTTTATAAAATGAATATCTCTAAATTTCAAAAGGTAAATTTTTAATTAGTTAATTAATTTCTTTTATATAATCATTTTTTAGGCGCTATGAAGATCGTTCACAAAATACATGGAATTGTGCATCATGGTTTGAATATTTATTAATTGTAATTCTATCAACAATACTCCTAATTGGTGTTATTGTTTTAATACTCTTCTGGGTATTATATTATCGTGGTGGTTTAGCATGGTCAAATCAACCTGAATTACAATTTAATTTGCATCCAGTATTAATGGTTGGTGGGCTTGTAACTATTTCAGGATACTGTAAGTATAAATTTAATTATAATATAATTTTTTACATCGAAAATCGACTCATTTCTTGTAAAATCATTGCAGATTGGGCGACTAAAAAAATTTATTGTGACTAAAAAAGTCCACTCTGAAAGAGCCTAGTGTCTAGCCTAGAGTACTCAACGAATCCAAAAAGCTTTTCCGCGGAAATATCCAATAACGACATACCGCGAGGGTCACCCCCAGTTGTCCCTTTTCACATTGGTCAATGCTCCAGACTCATTTAGAAGATGATCGCTTTAAGGCAATCATAAGTATGTCGAGAAATCGTGTGAGAGTTGTTACGGGTTTCCTGACGGAACACCAGAATCTGACAAAAATTTAGAGCCCTTATGGCAGCACAATTGTTTATTGGTATATTATTGCTATATCGCTCCGTCAGTAACCCCTACCCAGGTTAAATTGAGCCCACGTTTAACGGTAGACCTTTTTCCTTCGATCTATAGTGTGGCCTTCCGTCGGGTAGCTAACCGACTACTACCGCCAACTATTTTTGTTTTAGATTGTCTCAACCCTAGGATGATGGCCCTTGCTGCATTCACAATAGCCAAATGCAATCACGAAAAGTTGAGAATGACCTCCATTGTTGCTGTTGTTCTTTAATTGCACCTGTAATGTACAGGCATGCCTACCTTTACAGCTTCCCCAAATTCTACTTTGTACTTTTGAGCCCCCGCCTCGTACGTGAGAAACGTCACCACCGTCATCATATACATCCACCCCATGATATAAGAGCCACATCCTAAGACTTGGCCGTGTAACCCTGCGCATCATGATGGCTCTGGTAGTCCTTGCGATGACTACCTCTTCGTGTTTGTTGCACCGAAACCCCTTGTCAAATGTTAATTAACAAGGGGTTTCCAGTTCAATGATTAACCCCTTTTCAGTTCAATGATTTCTCCTTGCAATTGTAATGCACGCAGACATCCCAAACTTATTTTCTATTGAAAATCACCACCATGGTCTTAGCCGGGTCTAATCGAATCCCCAGCGCAGAGCATCATCTTTGCCTTATTACGAAGTCATAGTCTATTGTATAGAGACAACAAAAAATTTCTGTTTTACCATATTATTGGCTATGAGTCAATACAGAAAACGAAAGGAATATATTCAAAAAATGAGATCTTACTATATTATTTATATTAAAATAATGCAAATATTAAAAAAAATTAATAAAATATTCTGTTTTTTCTTTTTTTTTTCAAATTCTTCATCAAACATATGTATACACATCTATGTATAGCAATACTATTGTACAGATTATGCAGATGCTTAAAACATATTTATGTTAAATTGGCTCATATGTTCTTCCATGCTTGTGCAGTACCATGTGTTGTATTGGGATTTTTAGCTGTATTTGAATCACATGAAAATTTATATCCAGATAAACCACATTTTACTTCACTTCATACATGGTTAGGATTGGTAACAATGGGATTATTTGGTTTACAATTTGTTGTCGGTTTCTTTAGGTATGTTATAAAATTATTTTCATTTTTATTATTATTATTAGATGTGACTTGATTTAATATGTGCATAAATAAATATGTTTTTTTATTTTATTTTAGTTTTTTAATTTTATTATGTTGCGAAAATTATACATACTCATGTCGATCAGCTATGGTACCAATTCATGCAAGTTTTGGTGTAGTTACATTAATGCTTGCAATTGCTACAGCTCTTACAGGAATTTTAGATGCATATGACGAGTAAGTATATTTATATACGTACAAACAAAATTTATTCATAATTTTTTAATTATTTTATTATACCAACTTGTGAATCAAATTCATTTATCGTATAAATTAAAAGACAATGCAAAAAAAAAAACAAATGAAAAAAATTATACTAGCACGTCATAAAATATGTATGTACCCGCAACGCCGCAATTGTATATATTTGGGATAATTTTTAAATTGGATCGCATTTTTCAATTGAAAAAACAATTTCCCACAAACTTATTCATTAAAACATTCATAATAATTTTTACAATAAATCACTTAGTGCATTTTTTTTTTCATTTCTAAATTTACAATTATTAACACTTTAATCTCCCGCAAAGCTTAGACTCTTTCTCCGTCAACTATAAAAATTTTATTAGATTATAATGCGATACGACTATAACAGATTTCTATTTTTAAATTGCCTTTTATAATAATGTTTTGTTATCGCATCAATTCCAATAGATGTTGCCATTTTCACTTACCGACAACAAGCACAAGCTTATTTTGTGGACAAAATAGAAATGAAATATGAATTAACTATTGATTTAAGAGCACGATCTTTATTAAGTTGACCAGTATGACCGTTGTTGGGGTGCTCCCGTGTGATATAATGGAATTTGAATTGCTAAGGGAATGCTTGATGCTCTTACCGTCCTGCCTAGGTATAAAAAGGGAAGTTTAATGTGGGTGGTAGCGCATTACGACGTAGACGGAAATAAGGAGATGGTCTCGCCCAGCGGCAACTCCTTTCATTTGACCGGAGCCATACTTTGAATGCTGAAGAGGAGTTTTCTTGCACTTCCTAAATGGTTGGGAGGAACGAACCAGAAACCCCACCTCTTCTATCCTAAATGCTCAGACCTCAATTCAACAAATTTATATTATTTCGTCGACCAGATTTGAAGTTCTTGATGGGTGTACTCACTGGACACTGCCTCTCAATAATCGAGATCTGCCATAGACGTATGAAACGGTGGAACACTTATTGTGTGAATGTCAGACAGTGGCTCTCTTACGACTGAAAGAATTTAGAAGTAGCTTTGTTATCCTGATAGAAAACTCGCGATTTATATATGAAACATAATCTAATAATTTACCATGTCTACTTAACTGAATTCGAGCAGAAAAGAATTTTTTACTTACAATTTATATATTTTCTATAACCACTTGTCCTAGTCCGATCACTTCCAGTTCTTTAAAAATTTTGAATTATTATAGATAAATTGTTTTAATTATTAGACCATGTGTTATAATTTTCTATCAAATTCAATCTCACAATTTTAATTTAATACAATGTGTGAGCACAATCTAAGAGGTAAATTAAATGTCAAATTATGACATTATAATGTCATTTCCACGATTATTGAGTTGATGTGCCAAATACTGTCTAGGTCGAAAAAACATATTAAGGCTCATTATATATTAATAACTACCAGAACTATTTAATCATACATAATTTTTCAATTTTCTCAATTTTTTAAATTTTTCGTTTTTTTTTTTTTTAACAGAAACACAAAACCCGAATTGGAAAAATATGTTATGAAATCAACTGGTATGGTATTAGTTGCAATTGGTATTGTTGTCTCATTTGCTGTACGAAGATCAAATGCTCCAGCTACTGCTAAAGTATATGTAACAGAACGTATTTAAAGAAATTCATAAATAAATAAAATAAAAAAATCATTAAATATAATTTTAATATTAAATAAAAAAATAAAAAGAAAAAAAAACAAATCTTTGAATTTTCAAAAAAAAAAAAAAAAAATTAAATAAAATGAAATTTACAAAACGCAAAATTAATATTTCAACATAACGAAAAATCAAATAAATAATTTGAAAAAAAATTAATTTAAAATAATTTTTATTCAAAATTAAAACAAACAAAAAAAAAACAATAATTATTAAATCGAAATTATTAAATTTAAAATTTTATTTTAATTTTTTTCCTTGTTTTCTTCCATTTTATATTTTTTTTTCATTTAATTATATTTAAAAATTATTTACAAAAAAATTATAAAATAAAATTAAATAAATATAAAATTGTTTTCTACTTTATTATAAATAATTTTTTTTTCGTAAAATGTTCTCAAAAAACCAAAATAATTTGATATTTATATAAAAATTCATAAATTGTTTCATACATACATGCATTCAAAATTATCTATAGACTATATACGTCATGTAAATTAACATTTAAATAAATAATAAAAATAAATAAATAAAAAAAAATTTATATGAATTAAGTTTAAAATGAAAATACAAAAAAAAAAAATAATAAATAATTTTTTTTTCGCTGCCAAATAATTGTAAACGACGACATAAAATGGCTGATAAAAAAAAAAAAAACACAAATCAAAATGGCTGCAAATTTATAAACAGTTATATCTAGTATATGTAGTATTTTACATATTTTATAAATGTGAAAATAAAAATTAATAAAATGGCTGCCAAAAATATTTAAAATAAAATTTAAAAAAGAAAAAATTAATCAAATTAATTTTTTTTAAAACAATTTTTGAATTTTTTTTTTTTTCTTTTAATTGAATTTTCCTTTTTTATTTTTCGAAATCATTCTATATAATTGAAATATATACAGTTCAATTATTTTATAAATCCAAAATATTATAAATATATACAGTCCGACCCATATACAAGCATCTCACTTAAAAAAAAATATTCTTTTATTAGCAAAAAAAAGCAGAAACAAATAAAGTCGGCTTTGTACATTTTTCTACTCTTTTGTTCGTAATTATCTATATACTCGCATAAACAGATCAGTTACAAAGTAAAAACCTTATATAAACGCAAATAAATTCGTCGCATTAATACCTTTCTTATGTTTTTTGTTGTATTCCTTTAATCAGCGGTGAATCTACCACAAATAGAAATGCTCACTTTTCATATTTTCGAAAAAAAAAATTTTTTGTTCTCTCTTTTTACAGCAAAATTAACTTAATAAAAATTATCAAACAGTGCAAAACAAAAAAGTGAAAATTTAATTCTTGGGCTTTAATTCTATGACTAAAAAAATTATTTATTATGTTTAATGAGCAACATTTATTGCATTTATTGTCATTGTTTTACAGGAGGTAAAACGTGCGCTTTAGAAAGAAAGGGGCACTACTCTTCTGTGAGTGAAAAACGCATAGACCGCCGAACAAGTTAGAATCGAGCGTGCATTTTATTAAAAAAACAAAAAAAACACAGAAAAAATTTTGAGCACTAAAAATTTTTTTCAATTTCATCTAAAATTCAATTGTGACATTACAATATGTCACGCAACATATTTCAATAAGCTTACAAACAAAATTCTAATCCTAAACAAAAACAAAAAAACATCTTGCAATTTTTCAATGTGATTATGGTCCGACTGTATATACTACATACATAAATTAATGAATGAAAACTATAATAAAATAATATTAACAATTAAAAAAAAATTGTAAAAAAAAACAAAAATTAAAACGCATAATGTAAAATTTCACAAATATTAAATATTAAAATTGAAACAATAAAATAAAAATAATTACAAAATTTAACAAAAAAAAAAAAAACCAAAATGTCCACCAAAAGTTTTTGATGTCATTATTATATATGTAAATTTTATATATAAACTTATTTGAATTCTGATAAAATAGCAACCCACACAATAATTACTACAACAAGTGAATAAACGCGCATACAACCATAAAATTATTAAAACAAAACAAAAAAACAAAATAACAACAACAATCCAGAAAAAAAAATATTTTAAGATTAAAAAAAATTAATCAATTTTTATATATTTTAAGTAACAAAAAAAAAAAACAAAAACAAAAACAAAAAATATTAATTGAATAAAATTTAAGAGAAAAAGAAAGAAGGAGAAAATTAAAATCAATAAATTATTAATTATTAAAATATTTAAAAATAAATTTAAAAAAAAAAAATGAAAAAATTACAAAAAAAAAATTAAATGACCCTTTTTATTATGTAATTTTATATTTTAGTTATTAAGAATTAAAAGAAAACAAAAAAAAAAACGTAAAAAAAAAATTAATTATAAAAAAGAACAGAAAATATTTTTAAATTTTCAAAATATGAAAAAAAAATTTAATTAATGTATAAAAAAAAAAAACTCATTCAATTACAATTAAAGTGAAACACAAAAAAAAATTATATTTTTTTTTTAATTTTTTCATTTACTGTTGAATTTTTATAATTTTCAAAATTTTTATTAAAAAAACAAGAAAAAAACTTATTTATGTCCATTTTTTTTTTTAATTATAAAATTTATTTTATATAAAAAATTAATTATTTTCAAATTATTTTAATTTTTAACAACAAATTCTAAAAAAAAAGAAAAATTAATATAAAAAATTTTCAATGAATTCAATTTTTTTTTTCATAATTAACTTTATTTCAAATAATTGGAATATTTGAATAATGGAGGAAATCTTAACACTAAAAAACACTTGAATGGAGCGTAGATGCTCCATTGTCGTGGATTAATTTCCAATATAGTTTTCATTCATCAACTTGTGGTGGGAGACGTGGTTTCCCCCGATTTTATTTGTTCAAATTTCTTACTGAGAGAATCGCAGTAACTTAAGATCGATCGAAGTTTTCAATGTGTCAAGTCATACTACGGACTATGGAATGCATGAACTGGTGACGCATCTGTTTCGAGAAATTAACTTGTATTCGTCTGTTTTTTGTACGAACATTAAGTAAAGTAGTGCTTAAAGTCGAACTTTACGGTAGCATTTATTTTATTTAATTAATTCTCAATTTGTGTGACGTTTTCTATTCACTCACCGTACAGTATAGTTGTGTACGTTTGATTTTAACTGTTTATTTCTTAATTTATATCAATTAATCTTAAATTTTTTCTAATAATATTATCTTTGACTCCCTTTTTACCTTTCCCCTCCCATTTCATCCTATAAATGATGACGATGTTAGTTATAGCTACTGATGGTCACGTTTGTTACCTAAGTGATGTTATTTGTTTTGCTTATTTTTAATTGTGTTAAAAAAAAATTGAATTATACAAATAAGGTTTTGATTCCCGTGTCTTTAACATAAAACTGTATATTCAGTACGCAGTGATGTTCAAAATTTGATTAATATATTTCTAGGCTTAATTAAATGGCTTAATTTTAATAGGTATAAAAAGTATGGAGTTTTTTCATACCGTAATGGTAAAAGTAGTAAATCAAAATTATTTAAATTTCTTTTAAATTGAAAAAGTGAAAATTATTTGACAACACTTTGTATTTACTCTATACTGTTTACTCTGAAGAGTGTGAATGAAACTCTCATTCTTTTGTCATAATGATCATTGTCATAAAATATTTTGCGCACTATCACTCTTCCCTGTGAGAGGGAATGGAATAAGATTTCAATTATAACAATATTTCAAAGTTAATTTGAAAAATATGGAAGGTACAATTAAATTGAAAATTTTTTTATATTAATTTCTTATTAATTTAAATAATTTCGAATATATTAATTTTTTTTTTTGTAATTCTATAAAATATTTGTATTACTTTATATTTTAATAATTATTTCATTTAATTTCATTTATAATACATTTATTATATTATTATTGTAATTCCATTAAGCTTAAAAAATTTATAAATTATCTATAATAAAACAAAATATATTTAATATATATATATATGTATATTAAAATTGAAATAGAAAAAACAAAAACAAAACAAAAAATTACATTATTTAATAAAAAAAAATCAAAAAGTATAAAATAAAATTAAAGAAAAAAAAACAACACATTCATTTATGACTTTTTATTTTTTCATTTTTTTTTTTCAATTTCTTTTCAGTTTTTCAGTTTATTTTATAAAATTTTATTTTTAGAACTAGCATAAAATTTCTAAACATTTACAACATTCAATATTGTATTTAGAAAATTAAAAAATATAAAATAGAATTTAATTATAATAAGACTATATACAATATTATTATTATTATAACAGAAAAAGAATATTTATAATAAAAATGCAAAAAAAAAAATATACGAAAACCATAACCTCTAAAATTTCAAATAATTTAATATAAAAGTGTAAACCACCGAAAAATATAAAAAAGATTGGAAATGAAACAAATGAAAATGAAAAATGTGAACCAAAAAACAAAAACATTTGAAAAATGAAAAGTTGAAATGATCGAAGAATATTTTGTCTCTTTTTTACTGCACTAAACTGTTATAATTATTTATATACACATCTACATTGAAGAATTAGAATTACAATATTAATCTAATTAGATAAACCGGTGTATGACCATTGATACATAAATGTGATCAAATTTTATAATTTAACGAGTAGAGCAATCGTTCTGTTAGGATGTTTCGGAATTGGTTTTTTTGACCCCAATCGAAGTCTTGCGACTTAATGTGGCTGCTATACTGCAATTTGTTAATATCTTACATATAGCGTTAATGTAGGTAGTAATAAGTATCACAACAGATACTATGGGTCGATGTAGTCCTCTATTCAGGGAGAAAAGCCATGCTGCTAAATATTGTGTATATAGTCCCAGCAGAATAGCTTAAAATATTAATTTATTCTTAATATAATATGCTATTATTATATCAAAAGTTATGTGATTCCATATAGTGAAACTATGGAGAATTTTTGATTTAGAATAAAAACGTCAATTGTAAATTTTTCTATATTAATGAATTCAACATTATTATGGAACCAATTTCACCTCATTAAGTTACATATATTTAAAATTTAAAATTTTTTAATTCACATCAATGTTTTATTATAATATATAAATATATACATATATATATATATATATATATATATATATATATTTATAAATATATATATATATATATGTATGTATAATTTATATATATATTATATATATATATATATATATATATATATATAAATATATATATATATACGATATATATATATTTTCATATATATATATAGTATATAATAATACGTTTTTTAAGGATCGATAAACATTATATATATATATATATATATATATATATACGATATATATATATTTGCATATATATATATAGTATATATATATACATATATATTTATATATATATATATATATATATAAATACGTATATTTGCATATATATATATAGTATATAAAGTATATAATAATATATATGTATATTTAATATATATATATATATACATATATATAAATAATATATATATATATTTATATATACATATAAATATATATATATATATATATATATAGTAGCTTGATATAACGTATTATATGACGTATGTAATGACACAGTATTGTCACATTATCATTAAATAGTTCATTATATAAATATTGTACTGTTGTAAAAAAAGCTAATGTACTAACTCAAAATATGCGTTTTTTAAGGATCGATAAACATTTGGAAAGCATATTTGTTTAAAAATCATTAACCAGAATGCTAATAATTAAGTTATTATAAATTATATTAAATCTCTAAAATTATGAAAAAATTTCAACTTTTCACAATATTTAATATGAAAATTACATGAAATTTATGTTTCATTTCTTAATTACAAACGAACAAAAATGTGTGACCAAAATTCATTAATTAAAAAATAAAATAACCAAAATCACCAAAATAATATTATTATATATACCTACCTATATATACATACATATATATTTTTCTTAAACTAATATT